TTGATTCTTCCAATCCAAGAACACGGAATATCTTTCCATTTCTTTGTATCTTCTTCAATTTCTTTTAATAGGGTCTTGTAGTTTTCATTATATAGGTCCTTCACATGTTTCGTTAAATTTATTCCTGGGTATTTTATTCTTTCTGTTGCAATTGCAAAAGGAATTATTTTTTCCACTTCTTTTTCTGAAGCTTCAGGATTACTATCCAGAATATATAAAGAACTCTTACAACTCAACAACAACAAATTCACAAACAACTCAATTAAAAAAGGACTTGACTATGCATTTCTCCAAAGAAGATATAAAAATGGCTACTAAGCGTAAGAAAAGATACTCAGTATCATCAATCATCAGATACATACAAATCAAACCATAATGAGATATTACTTCATTCTCATTAGGGATATATATATATATATTTCATATATATATGAAATTGGAACTATCATGCATTGCTGGTGAGCATATAATATGGAGCATATAATATTACTTCATTCTCATTAGGGATATATATATATATATTTCATATATATATGAAATTGGAACTATCATGCATTGCTGGTGAGCATATAATATGGTGCAACCACTAAGGAAAAACAGTATGGCAGTTCCTCAAAAAGCTGAACACTGAGTTGTCATATGAATGAGCAATTCTATTCCTAGGAATATACCAAAAAGAACTGAATGCAGAGACTCAAACAGATACTTGCACAGCAGTGTTCAGGGTAGCATTATTCACAGTAGCCAAAAGGTAGAAACAACCGATGGATGAATGAATGAATGAATAAACAAAATGTGGTATATACACATAATAAAATATTATTCAACCTTAAAAAGAAAATTCTGACACACACTACAGCAGGGGTGGACCTTGAAAACATTATGCTGTTTAAATAAGTCAGACACAAATGGACAAGTATTGTATGTCTTCACTTATATACCTAGAATAGGCAAATTCTAGAGACAGAAAGTAGAATGGTAGTTACCAGGAGCTGTAGGCATAAAAGAAAGGTGAGTTATTGTTTAATGAGGATAGAGTTTCTGTCTGGGATGATAAAAAAAAGTTCTAGAAATGGATAGTGGTTATGGTTTTACAATGTTGTGAATGTATTTAATGCCACTGAAATAGTTAAAATGGTACCACATACGCACATAAAATAAATGGATAATTAAACTGTGGTTCACCTATATGATGAAATATAATTCAGTGATAAAAAGACCTATGGAGTCACAAAAAGACATGGAGGAAACTTAAATGCATATTGATAAAAGCTAATCTGAAAAGGCTATATATTGCATGATTCGAACATAAAATGGAAAACTATGGAGACAGTAATATTGTGAAGATGACAATACTACTCATGCCAGAGATTAGAGAAGAGGGAAAGGTTGCCAGGGGTTAGGGAAGAGGGAGGGGTGAACAGGTGGAGCAAAGGATTTTTACAGCAATGAAACTACTCTGTATGACACTGTAATGGTGAATACAGGACATTATGCATTTTTCAAAACTCAGAATATACAAGGAGTGAACCATAATGTATAGTTAGTACTAATGTATCAATATTGGTTTATCAAGTGTAACAAACGTACCATCACCAATGCAAGATGTCAACAACAGGAGAAAATGGAGGGGGTGGGGATGGATCCTCTGTACTATCTCCTCAATATGTTATACAGTAAAATTGCTCTAAAACAAAATCTAGTAATTAAAAAGAAATCCTATTTGGAAATTCCAGTGTTGAATTCTGAAGAAAAAATGGGGGTCACAGAAAGCAAATGAATCCCTGGGTCAGGTGGGGTTACCTGGGAAGGAGCAATGGAAATGTTCTGACTTGATTAGGTCTGGGCTGGTATACACTTGTCCAAACTTATCAAAGTATTCACTAAAAAAGAGTGCAGTTGATTGTAAGTAAATTATACCCCAATAGAGTTTTTTTTTTTTTTTAAATGGGGTCATCATGTTGGAACAAATGGGTCTCCTCCCCGATTTCCTCTGTAGAGTCAACTTAATAGACCGTTTGTCTTCCTCATCTCTCTCATTGTCAACTCCTTCTGGCTAGTCTTTTTGCCCCAGGACACAAATTTCTAACTTCTAAATTCTCCCAGCCTGGAAGACAAACTCATCAGCAGCCCCATCACAGTGAGAAGCTGCACACATGGACACTGAGAGACCTGCCACAGCCACATGAGCAGGACCCGCCTGGCCATCTGGCTTCAGCACTCTGACTAAAGTTAAGAATACCAGCCAGAGTTCACAGAGTGTGCCCCATGGCCAGGCACTCTGATTATCTTCATTCTTCATGCAGATTATCTTCATTTTTCAATTGGTGTGAGCACAACTACCACCCCCACTATCAGATGGGGAAAGTGAGGCATAGTGAGTAGATAAAGTATCTGCCCAAGACTTCAGCCATCTGGGGAGTGATGAATCAAGGTTGGGACCCAAGCACAGTGTAGGCGCCACCTCTCAACATCCAGACTTTCCACTTCACTAACTGACATACTAATTAACCATGCACTTAGCTGCATCATGTCTGCTCTCAGCCAGGCTCACTAGGACAGGCCCAAGGCTGTCCTGTCCAGTATGTGCAGCTGTGCACAGGGCTAGCACACAGTAGGCACTCACTGAAGAGTACTGGAATGAATAGATGTAGGTCTGAGACCCAAGAGCGAGAGCTATTGGTGGACCATGGCCCACACCCAGCATGGGATCCTCCAGTCCTGTGAACCAATAGCCAGGCGGAGCCCCTGTTGCCGCCAGCTGTGACTCATCTGGCACAGTGGTACAGCCTAGGGACTGAGGCTTTGAGTCCTGTCTCACCCTGCATTTCCTGTGGTTGCTGTAAACTGCGCACACAAGCCACACCCAGGCAGCCACTCAGGGCACAAAAAGGTACAGGAAAGGAAACTAATTTGGTTCCAGGTCCTGATAAACATTCCCAGACAGTTTTTACAGAAAGAATGCTGACACAAAACCCACCAAGACTTTGCCAACTAACTTTGCCAAGCCTCACCTCCTCTACCTTTCTGCCTAGCTGGTACCAGGACCACAGACTCCCAACTGGTTACCTGCCTCTCCCTGACACTTACGGCTGGGTGAGAGCTGGCCCCACCTGCACTCACCTAGCCCCCCAGATCCCTGAGCCTTCCCACATGGTGGCCCCCCAACTGTACCATACTGCCCAGGACTCCTACCCCAGGCCAAAAACACCTGTCCCTGTGGTTTCCACCTGGCTAACTTGTGCTTAGCTCACTATCCTCCCAGAGAGGCTCTCTTGAGTTCCCCTAGCTCCTACTCCACCGCAGTACAGATGCTTGGGCCTCAGTCTCCCCTCCTGAATGGACTTTCCCAGAATCCCTTCCTAACCCAGAGTCTGACCTGGCCTTGGGCATGGAGGAGCTGAGACTGCTCACTCCCCAGCATGCCACAGGCAGGGACTGGTTCTGCAGCAACAGTAATAGCTGCAGTAACATTTGGCCAGTGCCTGCCCAGTATAGACACAGTAGGTCCCACACATACTCCACAGCCTCTCACAGAAGCCACAGAAGCAGCATGCAGCAGGCCCCTGTCAGTGCACAGAGCAGTGAGCTATGGAAGACATGCCTGGAGCCTTGCAGGGCTGCTCATTTGATGCTCCCAGGCCTATGCTTTCTGGGCCTTGGTCTACTGTCCCAAAAATGAAGGGCTGTGAGGAGAAGGGTCTCTAGAGGCCCAGTACACAGAGATGGCAGGAAGAGAGGGAATCAGGGGGCCTGGGAAGGACACAGGTCTAGTCCTAGCTCTGCCACTGACCACCTGAGGCGCCTGGTGCTTGGCACCTGCCCAACATGAGCCTTTGTTTCCTCATCCACACATAAAGATGATATTCCGCATGTTCCCACATAGAGCTGCGGGATGGGAAATGCCTGCTGCAGGGCCAAGCACAGGTTAGGTGCTCAGAAAGAGCAGCCACAAATAAAAAGGGTTCAGAGGCATGACGGGAGCAGGTGGCAGCTGGGGTCTCTTCTGGCCTAGGCTGGGACAGTGGTGTCCCTGAAGTCACCAGTGTGCAGGATCCAGGCTGGGACTCCAGTGAGTTCTGGGGAGAAAGGACCGGGACTTCTGGGGCCTTCCTGACCCCCTAGATGACCTCCCCTAGATGACTTCTGCCCCATGAGGCAGAAGAGTGGGCCCCTCAGGGATGAGATGTGGCTTCTGGGAGCTCCCACATTCCCTGATCACTCTGCCATGGTTCTGTCACAGGCCCATCACCCTCAGGGCTTCTCCAACAGGGGAAGCTCCACAGAGCACTGTGACCCCACTTGGCTTGGGCAGGAGGAAGGTGAGGCCCCCAGAGGCCCTCAGGAATGTTTGGGCTGGTGATTCCATTCTGAAAAAAAGATGTTGGAGGGCCTGGGGCCGCCCAGTGTGGAGCACAAAGCTTTGGGGGGCTCAGTCCGTGTTCCGGATTCCCCTGGACCTGTCCTTAACGGAGCGGTGCAGCTAGAGAGGGAACAGAGAGTCCCCAGGGTACCACACACTGCCGCAAAATGCAGCGCCTGTGGGGCCTCTTGGTCACGTGGCTGTGAAGATGGAGTGTCTATCTCCTACCAGAAGCACAGTAGGACCAGAAAGAGTATTCCTGACACCATTTCCACTTTTACGTCCTACTCTGTCAGGTGGTCTCCTCACCCCAGCACCTCCCCCTCCCCGGCCACAGATGCACACCGGCCTTCGTTCCTCAGAACCTTTCAGGGCCTGACCACACCCTCCACCCCAGAACCCTCCAGGACCTGACCTCGCCCTACGGAAACCTACCGGACTTGACCACGCTCCCAGTCCACTGAACTCCGCAGACAGGGGAGGCTGTCATGGGCACGCAGTCACGGACAAGGTCACTGGGCCAACACAGCGAGAAGCCGCCCCCGGGCCGAAGTCGGTATAACTAGGTTCTGGGGACCACCGGGGTCGCATGCCCATCCAGGGACATCAGGCACGACCTTGGCCCGGCCGCGCTCACCTGTCATGGCGTCGGCACGGCGTGCACTCGGCCGGCACCGGCCCGTAGCCCTGCCGCCGTCTGCCACTCAGTCCGTCAGTTTGGCTGCCGCCAGCGGGCCGGGAGAGACCGCCGCCCACCTGTCTGGCTTGGCCTGCCCTTCCCGGAAGGCCCCGCCCCCAGCGTCATTGACGTAGCTGCCCCGCGCCCCGCCCGCCTCACTGAATCCCGCCCCTCACTGAGCCGGGCTTCCTCCAGCTTCAACTGCGGCGCTACAGCAAGACTTTAGCCCCGCCCCTAGCTGAACACCAGCCCCGCTCCTGGGCCACATCCCACAGGAGCTCCAAGTCTCGCTCTTCTTTGAAGCCCGCCCTTCCCGCTAGGCCTCGCCCCCGACGTCGGGGACGTAGCTATCAGAGCCCTGAAACCCGCCCTGACAGAGCCCCACCCTCACGGAAGTCCGCTACGCCCTAGCCACCGCCCAGAACTACGCCTTTCACTGAGCCCCGCCGGCGCCGCCTACGGGGTTTCCAGGAGCCCAGAACCTCGCTCTCGTCCGCTGGTCCTCCGAAACTCTTAACCCAGTCCCTCACACGATCCCCGTCCCCAGCTCCGACGCAGCCTCCTCTGCAGACGACGCACACCTTTCTGGCCCTGCCTTGTCGGAGCACCACCTCGATGCAGACCCCGCCCCTGGCCACAGCCTTCCTAGCTGCGGGGCTGAGGTTCAGGTGGCTAAATCTACCTGGCGCAGTCCGCCGTCCCGCTGGCACCGCCGCGCCTCACTCCCAGAATGAGAAAACTGAGGCTCTGAAGGAAGTGACTTACCCAAGGTCATGTAGGAGGTCAGGTCGTGCGCGTTATATGGCCAGGCCTGCAGCAAAAGGCCAGTAGGCTTTGGCTAGGGAAATCAGCCAAAGAGGGCAGTGCCCGCACAGTGACTCTCCCTAATCTAGGGGAGAAGTCGGACTCAACAGTGTGATGCGGGGGCACTCTCCTCTTAGGGCTCCCCACGTGTAAAAGGGGAGCACCAGCCTGTCAGTGTGACCCTGTCATTTAACCTTAGTTACCCAGTCTGTAAAATGGGTGACCTAGGGCAAATCTCTCCTTCTTCGGAGCCCACTCCCCGCCTCTATCGCAGACTGCCAATTCCAGCTGTGGCACCTACCCCAGAAGCTCCCAGCCCTACAAACTACCATTGTGTAGGGCTCCCACCACAAAATGGAGAGCTGTGGTAGAAAAGGAAAGCAGGGCCTTCACAGCAGCCATTGCAGACTGGGTTTTGATTTTACTTGATTCCTTCTCTACCTGTGCCAGCTGTTCCCCCATTAACATGTTCTAATTTGAGATGCTGGAGCTGGACCGGGAGTGGAAGCCCAAGCTTAGCATTAACTTCTTGGACAGCACAGGGATGGTGTGCTCCCCAAGTCCATGCACTCTCATGTCTGTGCCTTAGCTGTCCCTTGTAAAACAGGGTTAGGACCTACCATCAATGTTGTGTTCAGTCAGGGGCACCCACAGAATGGATACAGTTGTCTCCTGGAAACCCCAAAACCATTGGGCTGAGTCATGGTGGTCACTACCTGAGAGCCAATCCCTCCACAAACACTGGGGGTGCATCTGGCCTGGCTTTGCTAGAAGACCCAGCCTGAGCCTGCCCCAGCCAGGGAGACTACATGGACAAGGATCCCCCAGAATAGAGGACTAGCTCCGGGCTCCAGAGCCTCCCTCCTTGGGAAGTCCCACACAGGGACCTCCAGGGGCCTCTAGAAGAGGACCTCTTGAGCCCAGCAAAACCCAGCTTGAACCCTATTACTCCACATCCTTCACCTTGTGTCATTTACCTCTCAGTTCATTTCTCCCTCTAGAAGTAATGTCAGTGCTACCAGGGCAGGGTCTGGATGGACAGGGGACACAGTGGAGACAGTGGGGTATCCCAGACCCACCCACCTCCAGGGAGCCCCGACTGCTTTCTACATTGCCAGCATTCCACCTTCACAGCCACTCCTGCCACAGGATGGACAGGGAAACAGGTTTGGAGTGGGAAAGTTCCTCTTCCAAGGTCCAGAAACCAGGACTGGGCCTCCCAGGTGCAGGACTCTCTCCAAGAACCCCCGCCCCAGAGCTCACAGATGGAGTGCCCCTTGGATGTGCACTCCAGGCTAGTGGAGTGGAAGCCAGCACTGGCAAGAGCCTACAAGCCTAGATCCCTACCTCAGGAACAAAAGGTGTCCCCTTGCTGGAAGCGGTGCAGAGTCCTTGTTGCTCCCCCAGGCTATCACGGAAGTGAGCACTTGGGTGTGAAGTCCTGCCCATTCACAGTGAGAGGGCAGGGATCCTCAGGACCCTCACTCACTCCACTGAGCACTGTGAGTCTCACACACAGAGGGGACCTGATCACCCTGTGCACCGTGCAAACCGAAGTTGCTTCCCACCTGTCCTTGGGTGTCACGGGTGCACTGGCCCTGACCCCAGCCCCAGCCTGAGAGCTTCCATCTGTCTTTAGCTTCTTTCAAATTTTGTAACCATGCTTTATCTGATCAGAAAGTAAATATAATTTTAAATCATCTGGGAAAGCTCACACAACATAGTGTCTGCACTTGCTATTCCCCTGATTTATTCAGGGCCTCCTTACTTATTCAGGCTTCTTCTCAGTCTCCCCTCCAACAGGTCAGTAAAGTCAAATAGCAAACAAGAAACCAGAGAAAGGTTGGCAGCTCATCTCCCTGATTAATAAAGAGCTCCTATAAATCAGAAAGAGGTCAACACTCCTATGTTCAGAGAAAGAGGAAACATGCCATACCAAGCTGCTCAATTCTATTCATAAGATTTTCATGTTTCATGGATCCATCTAACACAAATCCAAAGGCCTGACCAGATCCTCTGTGGGTCTGGCCCTGGGGAAGAGGAGCACCTCCCCAGGCTCCCGGTCCTGTCCTCCAGGCACTCCCTGCTACCCCTCTCTCCACTAGAACATCAGCTCTAGGACAGAGGCCATATCATCCTCCAAGATGGCCCCATGATTCTCACATCCTAGGTTATACCATTCTGCAGTCTCCTCCACTCATGGCAAATCAGGCTGGTCTGTGGGACTGGTGAAATGTGGCAGAGGTGATGGTAATGAAGATTCTGAAGTTAGGTTATAAAGGGCATTGTGCCTTCTGCTTTTCTCTCCTGGGTCACTTGTTCTGGGGAGCCAGCTACTACATCATGAAGATGCTCAAGCAGTGCTGAGAAGAGGCCCCATACAGGAACTGAGGCCCCCAGCCAGCAGCTGGCACCAGATTGCCATGAGGAAGTAAATCATGTGGAAGTGGACCCCTGGCCCCCAGTCAAGCCTTCAGAAGAGACCCAGCTGACATGTGACTGCAGCCTCAAGAGAACCCGAGCCAAAGCCACTCTACCAAGCCTCACCCAAAACTGTGAGAGACGATGATTATTGTTTTTGAGCCACTACATTTGGGAGTAATTGGTTACATGGGAGTACATAACTAATGCACTAGATGTCTGATCAGAGGTCTGAAGTGAGAGAGTGAGCCACACAATAGTTGGGAAAAGTATTCCAGAGGAAACAATGCATGCAGGTGCCCCAGGCATAGATGACCTGGGTGACCTTTCTGTGCTTGAGGACCAGCCTGTGTGGCTGGAATAAAGTGAGCAGGGGGATGAGATCAGGTGGTGATGAGCAGGACATGCAGAGTCATGCAGGTCAGGCCTGCAGGATTGGATGTAAGGTCTAAGAGAAAGCAGTCAGGGATTTGGGCCTGGGGGATGGAAGTAGAATCCCTAATTTTTCTCTGGCATGATGGGTTCAGAAGTCTGAGCACATCCACATCTCTGATTACCCAGGTTTAGATAGCCAACAGCCCCAACTTCCTGTTTCTTGGGACACTTACCCTGAATCCCAGCCACCATGCAGGAAGGATGCTTAAGCCACATGTGGTGTTTCCAATGAAAGCCCCAGCTGAGGTCCCAGACAGCTAGTGTCAACTGCCAGGTGAGTGAATGGAGACACCGCTGGAAGATTTTAGCCCTGGCCTTTGCTAACTGCACTTTTGTAGGTGATGCACCAGCAAGAACCGACAGAAACAGTAGAAATAACAACATGGGAGCTGTGGTTTTAAGCCAGTGAGTCAATGTGACTTGCTATCTGGATAAATAGGACACTTAGGTAACCAACTGCTAGGCAATTGACTCATGAGGCATGATCTTTCCCAAACACTGTCCCCCAACTGGGGGATGTTCCACCTAGTGATGAGGTCTCATTTGTGACATCCTAGACCAATTTTGCTCAGCTTCTTTTGGGAACAAGAATGACACTCCAATATTTAAAGCTGATTGGTGTTTCTCTAACTTAGCTGTCACAGCCACTGAAAACCACAGATCTCATCAGCACCATGTGAAAGAGCTGACACAGGCCTCAGAAGATGCGGTGTAACAAGGATGACAAGGTCAGTTGCAGTGGTGTCACTCTTGCCTAGCTGTTCCCTCTCCCTCCCCACACTGGGGAGTCACCCTCCTGGCCCATGAGGTCAGTGTGGTCAATGCATTGCACACACAAGTAAGGTGTGTCCCCTCTAGACCAGATCATGGTGTTGCTGGTGCAAGTTCCTGGGCATCCCTTCCCTCCAAGAGATCTTGGAGGCATGCATTGCAACGGGCTGCTCCACCAGCCTTCATTGGACATGCAGTGAGAGCAAAGGATAAACAAGGTTGTTTGAGCCTCTGGGGCTGGGGCGGGGGGCAGTTGTCATGAGCTGAATGTTTATGTCCCTCCAAAATCCATATAATTTCAGCCCTAACCTCCCATGTGGCTGTATTTGGAGATGGGCCTCTAAGGAAGTAACTAGGGGTTGAGGTTCTAAGGGTGGGGCCCTGATCCCGTAGGATTAGTGTCCTCATAAGAGACACCAGATATCACTTTCATCTTACCCTTTCCCTCTTGGGATGAGAACAAAGAAAAGGCCATGAGGACATAGGGAGAGGGAAACCATCTGCAAACCAGTAAGAGGGCCTTCACAGAAATCAAATTGGCCAGCACGTGATTTTGGACTTCCAGCCTCCAGAACAGTGAGATAGAAATGGCTGTGGCATTTGTTACGGACGGTAGCCCAAGCTATCTGGGATAGTGGTTGTTTATTTCAGCAGCAGAACCTCGCCAATTCTGAATTCTATAACTACATGTTTCTCAAGCTGAAAAGGAAAGTGTGGGAGTGAGCCATGTGGTCTGCAAGGGCAATGTTACAGGCAGGAAGAACAGCAGGCGTTAAGGCCTCTCGGGGAGAGTGAGGTTGGGGTTTCAAAAAACAGCAAGGTGTTTCTCTCCCCAGTACAAGCCGGAATTGGTTTTAGGAGGACTCCGGGGTGGCTCCTCCTTCCCCTTCTCATCTGCAGCTAGGTGAAGCCTCTCTGCTCTGAAATGCCTGTGGGAAGATGCAGCTCTCTCCCTGTTCCTTGGTGGGGACATCCCCCAATCCAGCTGAGACTCCCTAGGCTGCAGCACAGACAGAGGCCAGCGTGCTGCACTGCCAAGGTCTCTTGCCCCCAGCTCTCCCAGGCAATGGCTCTGCTGTCCAGGCTGTACCCTCTCCAGCTAGGCACCACATCTTTTCCCTCCCTCCTTTAGTCCCTCGGTGGCCATCTGGACACCCACCTCTGTAACTCTCAGCTCCTGGGAACTAGAGCAGAATGGGGCCGCCTCCTTTTGCCACTTCACCCCAATCCTCCTGTCCTCTGACCCAGTAGCCCAGAGTCAAGCACCTGGGGACAAAACACCTGCCATCCTTTTGCAGGCACCCCCAAATCCTCATGGCAGGCCTCTTGCTCCTCACCCTCCCACCACCTCCTCCTAACAAGGGCTGGGGTGTGGAGAGGGTGTGATGGGGCTTGCTCATCCTGAGACTATGAGGAACTCAGAGCCCTTTCTCATCGGCACTGACCCTTGGAGGAATTGCTGAGCCCTGTAAGGAGCCAAGTGGTTCCTGAGAGTGATGATGCACATCCATGTAACCCTCTACAGGATCAAGGCAGCAGGGCAGCTGTCCACCCTTGCCCCGCCCCTGCAGCTGAGCCCACAGGCATTATGACTGAAGGTCCTCGCTTGCCTCTCCTGGACAAGCTGGGAGAGCAGAGTCTGCCAGCCCCTTCCCGCCCCAATCCCACCGCAATGTGAACATTGCGCTGTTCTGGCTGAGGGTGGGGTCTGAGCTTACCCACCTGGAGTCCCTACTGGGTCTCCTGGGGAGCTCGAGTGAAAGCCAACATGTTTAAAGGATTACTGCACCCACTCCCTGGCCTCAGGATCCTACTCTGGAACCCACCCCCAAACATAAAAAATATCAGTACCAAGTATAACAGCTAAAATGTGAAAATGCCCAGCAATCCTTGGTGGGAGCTTCCCAACAGATCACAGGACAGACAGACTCCTCTGTGTAGCCTGTATTAGAATGTGTTTTAAGTGATGGAAAACACAAGAGTGGCTTCAGGTCATCAGGATCCCCTCCTCATGGCCGCAATATGGCTGCAGGGCCTCCAGGCAGTAGCCTCTTGAGGGCCGCTCTGAGAGTCAGTTCTAATCAGTGGCAGGAGTTAGGGAAGGTCTGGAGTTCCCTCAATGGCCAGACAGGTCACACCCTGAATCGCAGGAGACTGGAGGTCAGATTTTAACTGGACCAGGATAGGCATGGGCTCTGCTGCTTTGACAAGTGACAGGTTAGAGGATTGTGATGGCTCTAAAGGTGCCCACCTGCCTGATGCTCCCTCTACCTAAAAGTGGAGTCCAACTGCTCCCATGTTGAGCAGCAGTGACCCAGCATGACTTCCCAGGCCCTGAAAAGCAAGGCTTGCAATCAGGACTCTCACCGTGGAAACCAACCACCATGGTGTGAGGAGGCCCAGGCCATTGAAGGTACCATTACCCCATGCTCTGCCAACAGCCAGCAGCAACCCCACGTGTGAGCCAGCCAGCTTTCCATATGCTACCAGCTGACTGCAGCCACCATGGGACACTCCCCATGAGACCTGCCCAGCTGAGCCCTGGCTGCCCAGAGCCCCTAGTGGTAATAAAAAGGGACTGTAGTTTTAGGCCACTACGCTTGGGATTTTGTTATACAGGGATTGAAAATTGAGCCAGTGATTTTTATCTTTTCATTTTTCAGTATTACAATTATTTCACACCCCTCACACATTACAGATAATGAATGCAGCATCCAGCTGGGTCCCTGCTTACAGGCAGCCCTCTGTGGAAGAAGATGCATTACTGTGATTGCTGAGAAGTTGGCGCTCTCTTCTTCTGCTATGCAAAACTAATGTGCTTAAAACGTCTATAGTCTTTTTGAAGGCACTCAGTCAGAGAGGGGCTGCAGCTGGGTCTGTGAACCTCAGCAGTGGTTACAAGGAAGGCTATCTATAAAAACTGCTACAGCTGGGCTCCCCAGGACAGGACACTCCTCACTGGGGTCCCTCCCCAGACTTTGAAATCAGGATGGTGCCCTGAGGGATCCCTAAATCCAGAAGCTGACTTCACTGACTAATCTTGAGCTGGACACATGTCGAGTTGTAGGTGGCTGGCTGGTGGGGTTGCCCCAGTCCTCCTCGTGTGGAGGGCGGCTCTGGCCTGGGCCTCAGTCACCTTGGGACATAGGTTGTAGGCTCTCTAGGCATTCACAAGGTGGGCCTGGGGGCAGGCAGGGTCTGCCCTGGGTCCTCTGTATGCACCATCATCTGGGCCCAGGGTGAATAGGCGGGGGTGCTGAGAGTCCAGGGGTTGTTGTCCATGCTGTAGCCACGCCAGCCAGCTCTCTGGTGCACTCGCCACGGTCTCTGCAGGGAGAGGAGGTATTAGCTAGGGGAAGAGGAGGGACCCCATATAACTCCAATCCTGAGCCTGTGCCAGACATCCAGGCCCTCCCCACCCCCAAAGCCCAGCTTTCAGTGGGCTTGGGGCAGATGGCTACTCTAAAGTTGGGGAGCTTCATTTCTCCTGCTGGATCTGCCCTGAGTCTGAGAAGTCCACTCCATCAGTACCCTGCCCTGGGCCTCAGGCTCCTCACCCAAATGAGGAGGGTGATCCAAGGAGAGGCCCAGGACTTAGGGGACCTTGCCTCCTTTGAGCTGCCTTCCAAGGCTGAAGGGAGGGAGAGGCTTCCCAGGGCTTTTTCAAAGGAGGCTTATTTGGAATGTGCATAAATTGCAGGGATCAGGCTGCCTCTCCAGGCTGGGACTTCCCAGAAACATCCAGGGGCACACCTTTGCTCCTACCAGGTTGTCTTCTGGTGGTGTGGGGCTAGATCACCTACCTTCCATATCTTCAGTTCCCTTACGGCCCGAATCACAAACCAACCCATTCTCCAGGCTGATCAGACCTTGGCCTGATACCATCACCTGGCCCACCCTGTCTTCCTCTTATACTGGCCTCTGCTCCCTGATGTCTGCCTGACTGTTCTACCTCTAGCCCTCCATTGGACTGCTCCCTTCCCTTAAGTTGCTGTCTCTCTCCTTCCCTGATATTCAGGCTCTCCCAATCTGTTCAATTCAGGCATCACCTCTTCCAGGAAGACTTCCTGGATCTCTGTTCCCGGCCACACTCAATTCTCAGAAAAGATTTAGGAAGTAGCAGGAATTAAGTTATCCGTTGGTTTGATGGATAAGTGAATGAATCAATTAATGAACTGGTGAAAAGAAAAGACAGCTTAGTGCACACATCCATGAACTTTGGAGCCAGAGCCTGAATTCAGACCTACCTTCACGCTTAGTAGTTGTGTGTGATTCTGGATAAGTTTCTTAAAATGGGGTAAGAACAGTGTATACCCCTAAGGTTAGAACCAGGACTATCTGGAAGAGCTTAGAATAGCACCTGGCACATTTTGTAACCTAGGAAGCATTTATGAAATAAAAGCAAGGTAAAGGGGCAAATCTTGCCTTACTGATGACAGTTTCACCAACAATTAGTGGGGGAACGGAGGCAGCTGGGCCTTGCCTAGCACGGCACATCCAGAAGCCCCTGGGCTACAGTCAAGAGTGTCCCAGCATGGGAGCCAGAGGTCCCAGGGACCTTGCCTCCATTCAGCTATGCAGCCCTGAGCAGGAGCCACCTTCACTGAGTCCCACTGAGCCAGGGGTGGGGGTATGGCAGGGAGAGCTGACGGGGAAAGGGCTCTCACCCCAATGTTCGCCCAGCTTCACTTACTTCCTGCCTTGAGCTACATTGACTAGACCTGACATTCAGAGTGGCCCCCAAGCTGGCCTCTTGTCAGGGGTTCCTCCAACTCCCTAAGGGAGGTGGCTATACAGCTCTGTGCCAGCCATCAGATGAAGAAAGAACAAATCTCTTAGGTCTAACAGCAGGTGTCTGTGGGGCAGGTACAGGCCCCAGGCAGTCCCCCTGAGAGATCTGCAGTCTCATCTCAGCCAAGAAGCTCCTGTAGCAGCTGTGGGTAAGCCTCGTCCAAGACACCATATTGCCTTGAGAGGC